CGCACGGCCAGCTTGGCAGCACCTCAACGTCATACAAGCATTCGATGACGCAATCAAGCAATGATGCATTGAGGAGCTATTTACTAGAGAGAGAAAGGCTGTCTAGAGTAGTAATTTCCACTTAAAAGCATGCCAATACCCAAGGCAGAAACACGTGGGCTTATTTCATCATATCTAATGGTTGCTTCAAAATCTTTAAATGTGGAGAATCCCCTTTAAGTCTGGTTTCCTCATAACGCTTCTAATATCATTCCCCTCAGCTGTTTTGCAGATGGCGGCCCTGTCGCCAGCTCTGCAGTTCGGACGACATCTGCCTGTAATCTTTAGCAGCGAGGTTTACACCTGACGGAGTGAACAAACGAACACCTGCCTGCGATCAAGGTGGCGTTTCTCGATCCGCTTCACCGTCGTGCTCTAATCTCGGCGTGTTTGTCACTGATTATCGCCAAAGGCACAGCAGCGGGATGAAAGCAGCATGCATTCACCTCCACGACTGGCAGTATTGTTTTCTGCATGTGGTGTGGGAGAGAACTCCAGAGCTTCAGAGAATGCAACACGCTTTCTGACTCACTGACAAATGACTTTTTGACTGACAAAAAAAACTGACAAAACTTTTTTTGGAACGATATCGGTATGCAGTGGTGCACCAGATACTTTACCTTGTCCTGAAGCTGGATGCTGAATTTTCCATCGATATGCATATTCACAGTAAAAGTGCACCGAGTATGGGCAACCTACAATGCGTATAGCATGCTGTTGTACGTGTGCAAGCGAGTTCAGACATTTGCTACCCGCCAAAGACATCGGTAGCTGGGCAGAAAGCAAGTGATCACGGGACATGCATGTCGACTCGTTTTGCGTGTAAACAAGAACAATATTTCTGTAAGCAAAGTAACTCCACTACCGATGCCATCTCACCAGCCTTGTCACAACACAGACACAGCGACAACACGATATTAATTTTTACGTGCGTAAAAATCCTGTTGTTTGATAAACGTCAAAATGTTGCCGAAATACCAACCCAACTATGTCTCCGATTTCCTAGTTTTTCTTCGAGGAATAAGCCTATTACTACTGTCTTATCATTATAAATTATTGTGAAACGTTTAACCGGGACTTTTTAACTGGATCTATTTCTGGGATCAGGAGTCACGCCAGGCAATGCTTGCTTTGTGAGCCCTGACCCCTACCATCCGATGAGGCAATACCAGGTCAACGGCCGCATTTTGTGACGAAAGCTGAACGCGCCTCTCGGCACGGTCCGTGCTGACCCCTGACGTCACCTGACCTTAAGCGCGGCCGCTGCCACCGGTCGCAGGTCATGGTTGTCAAGGACCAAGTAGCGAGCGACTGACGCGACTCGAAGCCACCCGGCCACAGGTGGGTGGATCTGACGACAGACGCTCTAGCCAACTAAACCAGCGGATCGGACAAAGCACACAAATGTTACGTTACTATCTTAAAATTGTAAGTTGCTTCAAATCTGAAAGTGACTTCTATTAAGCTTAACGTGTCGACTCAGAGCACATCTTGGAGATGTCAGCGTGTAAGACATGAGCCTTAGCCTAACCATACCTTCCTGATTTAGGGACCCATTTTACGGCTCGCTACGTGGGACGAAACCGTTCCGCTCTGGACGCTGGTAGATCAGCCATGGAGGAACCGCTGGTCAGGGCCAAGGTCGGTCTCCGCAGCTGCCGTCATCCAGGCCACTTTGCCACTGGTCGGACTGAACTGCATGACAGCCGCTGGGAAGTTCATGTATTGCTGCTGCAGCCGCTGGGAAGCTTGTGTACTGCTGCTGCAGCCGCTGGGCAGTTCATGTATTGCTGCTGCAGCCGCTCGGCAGCTCATGTACTGCTGCTGCAGCCGCTGGGCAGCTCATGTACTGCTGCTGCAGCCGCTCGGCAGCTCATGTATAGCTGCTGCAGCCGCTGGGCAGTTTACACACTGCTGTCACCGCTTCGTCCAACGGTCGCGCAAATGACGTCGGTCCAGTTGTCAAGCCATTGAGCTCTTTGAGGAGCTGCTGCATATTAAGCTCGCTGGCACGCAGCTGGCAGATGAGCCAGCGAACAAGCTCCTTCTTGACCAGCTGAACCAGTCAGCAGATTACGCCAGGTCGTCCAGCGCTTACCGCGGCGCCCTTACACTGAAGAGCCATCATGTCCCCTCCATAGTCGAAGGATTCTGCCTGGAGTTGACTTCGCTGGTTATGACTTTACTGCGTGGGGTGAAGACTCGATTGTTTTCTTCTCTGTGCTGAGCATCACAGCCACCTGCTCCTCCCGGCACAAATGTCTCGCGTTAGCATAGGTCAGATCCTTCCTGCTGTCAAAGTACTAACCAGTGAGGACCGTGTCGCGCTGGCGGTTGGCGCACGCACGCACGCACGCACGCACACACACACACACACACACACACACACACACACACACACACACACACACACACACACACACACACACACACACACACACACACACACACACGCACGCACGCACGCACGCGGCTGAAATTCTTCTTTATCTGCTGCACTTATGCGACTGAAGTCAGTTTGAAAAGTATTACACGCGGCTGCTGGAGCTTGGTATGAAATTCCGAAACTGTCTGAGACTGGCGTATTATTCTTAGGCACGTCTCAGTTGGTTTTAAATGCCAGTGCTTCACTCATGAAGATGCTGACTGTGAACGAAGACTCAGGGGCTGCAGTGCTGTCATGCCCTGCAAAGGGTCTACCAAGTCCCTTTGTCCCTACCAAGTCCTTACCAAGTCCTCTACCAAGAGTCTACCACGTCCGGAGAAGATTTACAGGCCCGAGTGTCGCTGACTGAGCTTGATGTCGGCCATCTTGCTCCTGTCGCTCTCCCATCCGCAGCCGTCTTGCATCAGCCAACTGTTGCCGAGCAAGCTCCCGGCAATCTACAGGCATGCCATGATGACAGAAAGCTTCAAAAGCTGTCTCAATCTTGAAAAACGCGAAGACGTTTGCCCCCTTTCGCTGCATCTCGAATCAGCAGATGATCAGAGATGAACCGGTTCGTAATGATGATGACAGTGGTGTTAATTTGTGCTTTGGAGCGTACCGAATGCACTTGTCATATGGCGTCCATCCGGTCCCTTCGGAACCTGCACTGAGCATTGAACGGAGTGTTTCACATTTGCATGGAGTTTTAAACAGAGACGGCCGTTCTGAAGACCATTCAGTGTAGTCACAGCATGTCATTTTTAGGCTTAATCCTTGTTTCTAAGCTTGACACCCTCGAAATAGTCCAAACTATTACGGCGCGCAGACTATTTTAGGTCACCCAGATGCTTGTTACGCCCTACAAACGTCACGCAAATGCCACCCCCTCAATGAGCGCAGAAGAGAGAGAGAGAGGGAGAGAGAGAGAGAGACAGAGAGAGAGAGAGAGGAGAGAGAGAGAGAAGAGAGAGAGAGAGAGAGAGAGAGAGAGAGAGAGAGAGAGAGAGAGAGATAGAGTATTATATATTATTATATAATATATATATATATATATCTATATATTATAATATCTATATATATATATATAATTTATGTGTGTGTGGTTTGTGTGTTTTGTGTGGTGTGTGTGTGTCTGTGTGTGTGTGTGTGTGTGTGTGTGTGTGTGTGTGTGTGTGTGTGTGTGTGTGTGGTGTGTGTGTGTGTGTGTGTGTGTGTGTGTGTGTGTGTGTGTGTGTGTGTGTGTGTGCGAGCGTGCGGGTGTACGTGCGTGCGGGTGGTGTGTGTGTGTGTGTGTGTGTGTGTGTGTGTGTGTGTGTGTGTGTGTGTGCGTGCGTGCGTGCGTGCGTGCGTGCGTGCGTGCGTGCGTGCGTGCGTGCGTGCGTTTGTGTGTGTGTGTGTACAAATGTACAGGACTACCTCAATAAGTGCCAAAACGCGCACATAACGATGAAAAGGTTCTGCAGACACGCGGCAGAAGGCGCTCTATCTCTTGGCAGATTCAAATACTACAACCGAGTCAGCACGGCCGCTACCGTAGCAATGCTGACACGGCCAACTGGCAGCGACTCTGACGTCATGTTCCATGGCGTAATCAGACGATGACGTATTGAGAAGCTTACTAACTAAATTATGAAAATGTGTTGTCTGGAGCAGTCTCTTAAACCTACAAGCATGCCAATAGTTACAAGTGAGCATATTTAATCATATTTAATGCTTACTTCAACATCATCATATGTGGAGCACTCTCTTTAAACAAAATGCCATACATTGCTGAAAAGTGTGTGCCTCTGACTATATCCCCGGATTGCAACCGTAACTCCCCAGTGATATAGCGATAAGCACCCGCAGATCTCCAGACCCGAGGCCTCACTCTTCCAGTTCTCAGATGGGCACCACAACTCCTTCCTTCCGTAACAGAGTAAAAAGGATCTGGTTGCCACACATAAAGCCAAATGCCTTTACACGTGGATCTCATCATTGGCGTGCTTCGCTTCGCGTTTTTCTCGTTTTGCCCGTGCTTGGGCTCGTTCTGGAAGAGCAAGACTGACTGTTGTTAGCGGCCGATCAAGAACTCGAAACGATCTCCTCCTATCTAAGATTGTAGCTCTATATTCCTCTGTCTACCACGGCGCCAGTAGTCACCAGTGTTTGGTGTTCATGTCGTCATACCCGGAATGCTCGCACTTCCGGTAGAACGTTTACTAGTCACCGCTGATTAAGGCCTACACGGATAAGAAACATTGCACCAGTCACCCCGCATGAAGAACTGCAGACTTCTAGACATCACATAACCATCCCGTTACCCCACTAGAGCCTAACAAGCCGCAACACCAACTCCTACCCGTTCCTCTACGTGCGGTTCTGCCGTGTCTCCTTTGCAGTGCAGTCCACAGCCAGCCGCGTGACAGGCTGGTCTGCAGGACGGTATCTGGTCTGGTCTGGTCTCTGTTCGGTCTGAGTCAGGCCGCGATAGAGTGGCGGCGGACCGCTATCGCATCTCCGGCGAGATAGCCGCCGCGACCGACGGCGCGTGGGGTGAGCGCCGCACCGTACCCTGTCTGGCCACTGCGCACGCGTCCTGGTGCTGCCTGCGCGTGGAGTGAGCATCGCACCGTACCCTGTCTGGCCACTGCGCACGCGTCCTGGTGCTGCCTGCGCGTGGAGTGAGCATCGCACCGTACCCTGTCTGGCCACTGCGCACGCGTCCTGGTGCTGCCTGCGCGTAGGGTGACCGCGAAGGTGTTGCCGGGACGCTGGGAAGCCGACCTTAAGGCGGAGTAGCGCACGCACGGACCAAGCTAAGGTAAGATGCAAGACGCAGGCGATGCAGAGCAGAAAATGACGTCACGTGGTATGTCAGTCTACCACGCCATCTGATGATCACGCACGGCGTCGTGGGGTCTGCGCGTACCCTGAAATACCTCATTGTGATCGTATTACAGTAAACTAGTTATCAATGCATTGTATTGAATCTGAATTTAGGCACAAGCGCACATTAGGAAGTACGCATAACGCTTTACCATTTTGAACGGTTAACAAAGTATATCAGCAATGTCTTCGTGGATTTTCGAAAAGCTGATGAGTAGCATTAGTTGAGACCTGATGGCACGGGCATCCCACATTCGTAGCAATTTAAGTTATTCTTTTTTCTTGTGGTTGTTCTTTCATCAGCTGCCCAATCCAGAAGAATCGTGTTCTTGGAATTCGTTAGTTGCACATGGGTGTCACTCCGACGAATCTCATGCGTCTGTAGGGGACGTCTCCCAAGAGGGCCGCTCAGTGACGTCACATCGGCTACCAGTGACGTCACCGGATGGATTAATTCAGTTGTCCGGTGGTGTTGATTCTCACTCACCGTTCTTCAGGGGTCGTCATGCGTTTCCAGCTGTCGGCGACAGGCACAAGGCCACGGCAAGCAGCTGCTGTGCTGCTGTTTTGTCTACTGCTGACGTCATTTAGTGAGTGAGGCTGTTCCATAAGTGCTCGTAGCATATCCTGATTTGTCTGGGATACTGGCGTTTTGTTGGGCGTGTGCCGGCTGTGGCCGTCTGAGATTCTGACGTTGTTCAACGAGTACACGGTGATGCGTCGGATCTGCCTGCGATTCTGACGTTGCTCGGTGAGTGCCTGACAACGCGTTGGACCTGTCTGTGATTCTGACGTTGCTTGGTGAGTGCCTGACAACGCGTTGGACCTGTCTGTGATTCTGACGTTGCTTGGTGAGTGCCTGACAACGCGTTGGACCTGTCTGTGATTCTGACGTTGCTCGGTGAGTGCCTGACAGCGCGTCGGACCTGTCTGTGATTCTGACGTTGCTCGACGAGTACACGGCGATGCCTTGGACCTTGTCGACGAGGACCTACCACGAATAATATTGACGTCGCTCGTTAAGTGTCTGACGCTGCCTGCCGAGTGTCTAGTGAAGCTGGTGAAACTGACGCTCGATGAGTGCATGCTGTGTCTGATGTCGACTCTGCTCGAAGTCTGATACGCTACTCAAAGTCTGATACGCGTGATGCTGATGTTGCTCAGCGCGTGCATGCTCTCTATGATGCCGATCACGCTCGGTGAGGGCGGTGTCTGATTTCGTTGCCTAAAAGACGTTCTATTCGGCAGTGGATGCACAACCAGGGTATAAATTATTATGGGCGCTGCTATTTTCGCGTTAACGCGACCCATGAGTGATCTGGACTGTACGACATGAGGCTCCCCGGGTGCCAAGGGCTAGGATGTAGGTAACAGTAAAGGAAGGGAGCAAGGAATGTGGGAACTCAAGGCACGATATTGATTTCTTCGTACTGTCAAATCTTACCATTTTGTTAGGATCAAAAAATGTCACCTCTCCCTAGACACACACAAACTCGCAATGGGTGTTGTGCGAGTGCGTGTTGTGGGCCAATGCACCCCCAAAGTCAACGCACACGGGCCTAGCGTGACGTGCGCTACTCACGCAGGGGCTCCGGTGAGCGGCACTCCACTGCTGAGCAGCCTCCAGCGGGACGGGTCGCCTCACCACGTCAGCGGTGAGTCCTCTCAGAGAAGCGGGCGAACTGCGGAGAAGGCCCGTCCTCGTCCAGCCTTCGGCAGGGTTCCGTCGCCAGTCACCTGGCTCCAGCCGCGCATGGTGTTTCTAATGTCAGCTAGTTTGATGTTTCTGTTAGCTGGAAAGCTGTGTTACAAACGCTTAACACCCTGTTTTTGCTATGTCAGCAGAGTTATGGATACATTGGAGGAGTTCTTTACCCATATGCGAGTTCTGAAGCCGAAATTGTCGAGACCAGATTGAATCTCAGTGGACCTAATGTGCTTGACTGCTCCCTTGGGCTCTTTCGTTTGCACACGCTGGTAGCCAGCAGTCCCAAGGTGTGTGTCTTGTGAGCCTGGAACACCTCCCCGAATCAAGCTCGTGTCTTCCTCTTTGCTTGCCTGACGTGGTTCCCCTCAGCGTCCTTCAACCGCACTACAGCCGCGGCCCAGACAGTTACGGTGAGTTGGTCGGGCGAAGACACCACACAACTGATGTTCGCTTTCCCCGACGGCAGACGGGCCACTCAGCTCGACGGCCGCCGGCCGGCAGGAAGCGAGCAGCAGGCTGGGCGGCATCGGGCGGCACCGGCGCTCGCAGCCGCAGCAGAGCCACAGCGCCACCCAGCAGCTGGACCGCGAGCTGGAGGTGGCCAGAGAGGTGCGCCGGCTGGAGGCTGAGGAGCGCGGTCACCAGGCCACCGGCGCGGCCCGGGAGCGCGCCCAGCAGCAGGAAGTAGCGCGAGAGGTCCAGCAGGCCGGGGCCCAGCCCACGGCCGCACCGGCGGACCGCACCGCGCAGCAGCAAGAGATCACTAGGGAGGTGAAGCACGTGGTGGCAGAGGTGCAGTCGGGGCAACCCCACAGTAGGTCACAACACGAGGCGCAAGAGCAGGAAATAGCGAGGGAAATCAAACAAGCTGAAGCGGAAGCGCAGTCGGGGCAAGGCCCTTCTGATACATCACTACAGGTGGCACAGCAGCAGGAGGTTGCGAGAGAGATCAAACAAGCTGAGGCGGAAGCGCAATCGGGACAAGGCTCTTCTGATACATCACGACAGGTAGCACAGCAGCAAGAGGTTGCGAGAGAGATCGAACAAGCTGAAGCAGAATCGCAGAATGCAGACAGATCGCAACATGGGGCGCAACAGCAGGAGATCGCGAGGGAGGTGAAACAAGTTGTGGCAGAAATACGATCGGGGCAGTCTCCGAGTGCCTTGCAGCAGGAAGCCCGAGAACGAGAGATTGCAGGAGAAATCACACAACTTGAGGCACAAGTCCATGCTAACGCGGCCGATTACTTATCACCAGACACGGATCGGTCATTGGGTGATAGCTACTCAGACGAAGATGAAAACGAAGATGACAGCGAACAGAATGATGATGACCGAGATCCTCACATCTACGATGATTTCTTCGCTAATGACGACGGCGCAGTGCAGAAAAAAGGTGATCACGAGGAAGCGTCCTCCTGGAATTCAAAAGACCACAATGCTGCAGTTGACGCTCCAGAAACGCTGACCAGCGGCCAAACGCGGTCTGTGGGCAGCCATCAAGGTCAGGCAGAGATCTCAGCGGGCAGCAAGGGTCACGTCAAGGCCGCCGCCTTCAAGTCGTGGCAGGCGACGACCATGACGGTGGCCATGTGCGCCGTGATTGGCCTTGTCCTGCTCACCGTGGTTGGAGTCTGGTTCCGCCACTTCAGGTGAGAATTCGTCCGTATGGTGACGTCACTGGGGCACGGTAAATGCGAACTGCTGCCAGCAGGAGCTTGTAAAAATATGAGATTTGATGCGGTGTTCGGAGTGTGATAGGCCAGCATGTGCTGACAATAACGTTACAGGTGAAATTTAACAGCAGCGCAAAATAGGGCTTCCTTTCGTTTGATGTGGCTGCATCGTCTAATGTGCTGATGGTAACTCTGCAAGAAATTTATCCGCACAATTAAACCAGACTTTTTCTCTGGTTCTGAGTTCTAAGCCTTGTAAGATAAGACGACGTAGCTCGCCCATGCCATCTCAAGCAATCCAACAAACCGTCATGGCTCGTTGGACCGCTTGCGCTCGTCAGAGCGTCTCTGCCGCTGAGTCTATGCATCATCAAACGGAGCTGACGGCTGTCCACAGCCCCGAATCACCCAAGCCACAGAACCTGCTGCTGGAAGACGACGAGAACACCGTGTACAACAACACCACCAGCACCCGGCCGGCCGGCCCGCACCAGGTAACCGATACTGCAGCTTTGACCGACGGCGACACATCCTGGACTTCCACGTGGAGACCTTCGGTAGCCGATACCAGTGGTAGTGGACATGATGGCCCTGACCGACGGCGACACATCCTGGACTTCCACGTGGAAACCTTCGGCAGCCGATACCAGTGATAGCGGACACGACAGCTCTGGCCGACGACACATCCTAGACTCCCTCGTGGAGACTCTCGGTAGCCGATACCAGTGATAGCGGACACGACAGCTCTGGCCGACGACACATCCTAGACTCCCTCGTGGAGACTCTCGGTAGCCGATACCAGTGGTAACGGACGCAACTCTGACTGACGACGACGCATCCCTTACTCCCACGGGGATACCTTCGGTGGCCGATACCAGTGGTAGCGGACACGACTCTGACCGACGACGACGCATCCCTTACTCCCACGGGGATACCTTCGGTGGCCGATACCAGTGGTGGCGGACACAACTCTGATCGACGACGACGCGTCCCTTACTCCCACGTGGGATCCTCCGGAAGCCGATACCAGTGGTGCCGCAGTGTCCTCACCTAGTGGCGTCCACACGATGCGTACATCATGAGGAACTACTTTCGCCACCAGTCCTGGTCTTGATCACTGAAGGCGATGACGGCCGTGGATTGTGGTGCGGTCGAAATTCGACTTTATTCGTGAGAGAGCTGGGCACGCCCTTGACCCAGCTGGTACACCCTGTGACAGCTGACTGTGGTGGTACTGCAGCCTGGATTGTGGCCAGCTGTCTTCACAGCTATCGGTTTGCGTTAGTCACGCCGCGCTACGAGGCTGTTTGCTATTTAAAACGACACGTGACAGCTGATTTCAAGCGTTTGTAAGGTGAGACAGTAATAATGACCTTATTCCTTTGAGAAAAACCAGGAGAATGGAGAAATAGATTGGCTGATATTCCGGCAACATGCCTTAATCGAAACAATAGCAGAAGTGAATTCACTTCTGCCATTGTTCACCTACAGGCCATCACGCCCTATGAGTTTTGTGCCTCTGACTCTCTTAGCTTTTGAGATCTCAGGGGTCAAATTGCCCCCCTCCCCCCGCCCAAGTGGAGGGTATTCAACCGGCCACCCGGGCGCGCGTTGACAAGCGGACGAAGACTCAAGGACGTAGCTGAGACATTTTTTATTTTCCCCTCACAATAGTCCACCAGCCCAGTCCTTCCCTCTTAGACCACCCGTAAGTGGGGACGACATCTGAATAAAGGAAACTTGGCCAGGCGTGGGGAACTCTCTGTCTTAGTCAACATGTTAGAAAGGCTCTGGCCACATACAATTAATTCAAAATAACTAAAATGGACCTCGTGCAAAATGACCACTGTGGTCGACACACACTCTTGAGCCAAATGAATAACTCCATGGTACCAAACATTTGTCAGGGTCGGAAAATGACCACTTTTATTTTTAAATATTGCTACTTCTCACACGGCGCGCAAACACGTTTGCCAAACGTCTTTTTGGCTCACACACGAAAGCCATCTTTTTGCAGACCACAACGGTAAGAGCATGCCACAACATACCAATGATGCTTATTCGCATACAGACTTTTCCATTTACATCCCTGTGGGTGCGCAACGACCTCCAGCGAACCGAGACGGCTCGGGCTAACGCTTCTGACCGGTGACACCAGCCCGCGATGGCCCCATCGGTGGCCAGGTCGCGTTTGAGTGAAGGCATTACTCAAAAAGTGTACTGGTGCATATACCACGACCACTACCAGCACCATTACCCACCGGTGCTGATAATTACCATCACCAGTAGCATGGTCGGTGCTTGCTCGGTCTGACGCGTGCAACGGAGCCGTGGCACTGCGCTTGAAAGGTCAGGCCTGCCAGAGTCAAGCGATAACAGGGCCGATTTGCGCTAAAGCGGGACCGTCACACGGGCTTGAAAGGTCACCGCAAACCGTGTCTGACAAACGACAAACGCCTTGAAAGGTCATACGGTGGCCCAGCAACGGCGGATTAAAAGGCCGTGCTCCCCCTCCCCCCTCGCTCTAAAGCGTAATTCAGAGGCCATTCAGGCAGCGCGGAATGGCCATGATGACCGCAAAGGGCCTTTGGAGCGAACTGCAAAAGATTTTGTGTTTGTATCATAAATTGCAGAAGGAAAGGTTTCCGGAACCGGCGCAGCATTCGGGGCTTCTCGAACTTGTACCTCCGGCTGCGCATGGGCCTAACAATGGCTGCTGAGGGCAAGAGGACCCCTTATCCCGGAGGCGTTATAGACATACCAGAGGCACCAAATCCTCGCTCTGAGTAAAACCCGGCGTGCACTACTGCACCATGTCGCAGTGATTGACATGGGCGCCCTGCGTTCCTGGAATGATGTTCCATGTGAAATCATGCAAATTTAGTAAAGCTTTGGACCACAGATCATCGTGGCATGCTCGAGCGAACTGATTGGTAGTTACCTCCAAGTTATTCATCAGCCACAGAGTCAGTGCCGAATGTCATCGAACGAAAGCAGAGCAGAAAAAATGACTCCGATAATGGTGTTGATATGACCCGACTAAAACAGAGTAACGGTGATCTAACCACGCGCGCAGGACATGGAGCCATCTTTACCGATTCCACGCAGCATGGATGCGAGGATATATTACATGGACTTTGCGTTTAAAGCATTAATGAGCGTGCGAAATTATGAGTAGGCAGCGTAGAATTCCACAGCAGGTAACAGTTGATATCTCCAACGACATGTGAACAGTATGCTCCGCTGACATGAGAACCAACAGAGATGAACTAAAAATAAATTAATACTGTCGCGTAATAGTATCCGTTGGCAATACCAAGCATGTGATAAGACCGCAAAGTAATAAAGCGTGCGCATCGCCGAGCGAATAACGCCAGATCCTACTTCGCCGCCATCAGAAACAATCGGTGACGTCACCTGTGCTGATGTTTCAGGTCGGTCGTTACGCCCGCCTGACGTGACCGTGACGTCACCCGTCGGTGTGACGTCATCCGTCCGCCCCACCGCCGCACGCCGGGCCCTCGTCTCTCCGCAGCCGAGGTGGCCCACGGGATGAGGTCACGATGCAAACTCCCACGGGGTCACGATGCAATCTCCCATCACCGCATCGTCACAGGACACGCGGTGCGCGCATCGCCTGGCGTCAGGCCACTGGACGTGTATCGGGGTGTAGTGAGATCTCGACGAGGTCGGGGTGTAACAGGCAAGTTCAGCTCGGTGCACCCCTTTGGTTGACCACCCACCAGCCAACCATAACAGAGCCTACGGCTGACTGTGCGTTGGACGTTAGACGCGACGTTAGACGTTACGTTAGAAGGAAGTGTTTGTACTATCGCTGCTACATGCCGGCTCCCGGTGTGGCGAAGCACGCATGTCTAATCACGAACGCGTCCCAGATCAGAGGGAATGACTGTGGCTTGAGTTGGGATTCCGAATACCGATTCCATCCGGTATTTTGCGATTCAGTTTGCTACACGATCATAAAGCGAAGCTGAGTCCTAATCAAGCGTATTTGTCAGTCAGGGTACACCACATGGTTAAAGAAAGGCGGGGCGTCCATTAAGAATCGGTAGCGCTGGCCATGTCAAACATGCGTAGGAAGTCCCAGTGACTGCGCACGCACATTGGCACCATGGTGTAGTGAATGGGACCAAACCGAATGACCCATAACTTGCAGCTGATAAAGCGAACAAGTGAGCCTGCGTGGCGGACAGCAAGCCGGCAACGACGTCAGTGAATCGACATCAATATACTGTGATTTTTCCAACGGCATTTTTTCTTCCGCCGACTTGCAGATCTGGCATTTCTTGTCGATGCTATTCGGCGGGGCATGCAGTACGCTTCATTTAACTTTGATTTAACTAACTCGTTCCACTGAGTCTAATAATCAGTTAAATGTTATGGCTATTACCTTCAAATCACCAAACTAGCAATTTAATCATTCGTTTCACTAACTTGTTGCACTGGCTAACGCTGAGTGCGGCACTTACTATTGTGTTTGACTTTTTAAAAATAGTTATTATTTTACTATTTTATAAGTAAGCTGATGGAGGGGCCCTCTTCGCCTGTCCCTGACATATTCTGGAACCAATGGTGATATTTATCTGATTAAACCCATTGTTGCATACGCCAAATGCCAACCCCGGACATCGATACCCAGGTATGGTGACCATAAAAAAACAGTAAAACAACTCAATTTGGCTCTAGTTACACGCGCCCAATGCATAACCGTGAAAAACATTCACAGCGGTCCCTTCCCTGTTTCGGCAAGACTGGCTTAAAGGGAGTGTGCTACGCTTGTATGAGGTTTTGAACTGAAATAGCTATCTTGAAGATCATTTGGTGAAGTTTACAGCCCCAATCTGTCTTCAGACCTAACCCCTCTGGTTTCTGAGGTGCACGCTCGGAAATATGTGCAGACTATTTTGGGGAGACATTTCAAGGTCGCCCAGGCATCCATGACGCCAAAATAACGTCACCTAAATCCTGTCATTCCACTATCCATACGGCGAACAAGGCCAAGAAAAATAAGCTTAAGTCGCTGATATTTGACGTTCCTGAAAACGACTCCCAGACAAAACGGTCGTTAAGTAGCCCTCAATGAAGGTATTGCAGGGTGCCATCAAACATTGCAGCGCGTAATCAATGACGTACAGAGGACCATATGCACTAAACCGAAATATTGTTGCCTTGATCAGTCTTTTTCATTTAAAAGTACGCGGATGTTACAAGTGAGCTCATATCAAATCCGATGTTTGTTTCAATATATTCAAATATGGAATATTCCCTTTCAGACATCGGAGATGAAGGCCCCGTAATAACCCCTCTTTCAAATGCCTCGGCCCTCAAATGTCATCATCGAAAACAGACGACAGGACAAAAGTTTCACGAGCGCGTGCTCTTCGGCACTCTGGAGGAGATTTTTCTGACATTTTCACGAACGGGAGCATCCAATTCACTCTGTTTCGATCAGAAGCGACCAATCATTGTCGCCGCCATCGAAGACCAGGCGCGAGGAAAACACTTAAGCATCTACTGTATACGGAATACGCTTTATTTAAGTTTGCTGTTTTCACAATTACACCGGGTGGACAGGCGTTGCTGTTAGTACAATCATGACGCGTCCGAACGAATACCTGTGATCTCCCAAGACCGGACGTTCGGTCTTCAAAGCGTGCGCCCCAACATGGCGCCTGTTTGCGTTGAGCGGACGGACGGCGCGGATTGGCGCCACGGTTGGTCGCCATGGCAACGCCTGACTGACGCGCATCCGCCCGTCACGCGCACGACTGCTAAGCGGCACCGCCAATTCCGGAGAGATAATTTATAAAATATGCGAGTCAATCAGCTCCATCAGCACAAGGTACATAACTGGCGCCACAAGGGCTGCCAAAACAACAACGGAAGGATCCCGGAGCAACTGGGCGTGACGCCGGAGAAAGGACAGGGTGTGGCAGGCGGAGGCATAACTGTGAACCAAAAGCACCACTTCGGTTAATAGTTCCTACCGCAGAGTCGAATCGCAGCAACACTACACACTGTACAAAAAGACAACGGCCAAAGAGACGGGGCAAGAGGAGACAGGAGTGCTGGAGCAAAGGGGCAAGTCCGGAACGCGGTCACAGGTAACAAAACAGGCCAGGCGGAAACGCACACGGACATACTCAAAAGAACGGGGACGTTGAATCACACGGGCACCGAGAAAAGCCGTACAGCAAACGAGACAGTAGAGAGGGAGGGCAGACAGAGAGAAGAAAGCAGGAAAGGAAGACAAGAAACGGTGATGAGGAAGAGAAAACCGATGTAAAGAGCACAACCTCCAGCGATCGGCGCGCTGCATCCCCGCGCCGTCGGAGCCTCAGCAGGTCTTGTCTCACTCTGGCATCCGCGCTCTTCGCCGCTGCCTCCGGGCACGCATTAAAAGAAGTCTGTTTGCAGTGGAGCGGCCGCGGTCGCCCACGGTGGCGCCGCCACGCGGCCGAAACGCGCAACCCGACCGGCCAGGTTGGGCCGGACCCGGGCCTCGCCCCGGCGACAGCGGAAGGGAAGGTTTGGATGGGCGGGGGAGGGGGGGGGGGGGGGGGGCGTCCGGTGCTGAGCGGAGGGAGACGGGATTTGCGCAACGATTGCCGAGAGCCTACTGGTCCACACCGGGAGACGGCCGGTGGCGAAGGCGCGGTTCGGTGAGGGATGGCTTTGGGCCGGGAGCCGACGAGTCGGTCCCCCGGGGGAAAGAGTGCAGCATGACCTGAGGCGGCAAGCACCGGCGTCGCAGCTGGGGGCGGCGGCGGCGGCGCCGCGACCGACCGACGCGCCTACGCCGGCTGACTGGTGCCGACATAGGCCGACCGGCGGGCCGCCGGCGCCCTGCCACCGCGCCGGCCGTGACCCGGCCGGCCGACAGGCGGCTCTCTCCCTGCGCCGAGCGCTGTTTCGGCTCTGCGCGAGCGCCGCGCCGGGCGGCGCTGCGCGCTGCCGACGGAGGGACGGCCGGGGCGCGCCGGCACCGGACGCCGGGCGGCGTGGGGAGGTATGGAGGGCGGCAAGGCGGGACAGGGGCGCCGGCGAGACCCCGGCCCGGCCCGGCAGCCGCGTGACCCGCTACGACAATTCTTCTATCACATGGCGTACTTGCGTGTCCACTCCCTGGCCACCTGGCGGAGAGATCGGCAAGTGAGGACAGACCGCACGAGCACGAGCGAGGCCCGACCAATCACAGCACACATGTAAGCAGACGTGTACTGTGATTGGTCGCGAAGAGCAGACAGACGATGTCCACGTCGATGACAGCGTAAGGCTGTCCGTTCTCAGTGAGTGTGACATGAACGGATCTGGCGAGCGCTGCAGAGCGAGCATGTCGAAAAACACGCATTACCTTACATAAAAAGCCGCAGCGCAAGGGATGCCCAACAATAGAAAGATCGCCTAATGTTCTGGCGACACTTAACCACGCGTGAAATGCATCGTACGAACTTCGTCATAATGAGAACGTTGGTCATGAATCTCGCGGCAGCAGAACAAAGCCATTTCAACGAAAATATCAGCCAATGAGACTGTTCGGGTACAAAGTGCGGAGTCCACTGACATTCAAAGGCGGATGAACAAAGTCCGTCAAGATACACTGAGTAACGCACTTAAGCACTAAAATGACAAGTCATCTCTAAAGCACCAGTGTTTTTGCAATACAGCATGCGGATCAGTGGTCCTAGTACATCACGCGGAAATCATACAATCAACATACCAAAACACCTACAACACTGGCGCTGCTTGGTCTTTGGAATCGGAGAACGTCGAAATATTCCTCTACGCGATCAACCTTGGGCCGCAAAAACGCATGCCGATTTTGCCATGCTGTTTGGATAGCCAGCTTATATGGGCCACTGGTGACGGATGAGTCAATAGCAAGCACGACATAAATAGACCGAACCAGCTGATAGAAAGACACAACGTGCATTGTTTCCGTCAAAAACTACCGCACGGAGGATAAGGGAGTGCAGGCGGGGGTACAGAAACAAAGAACGAGGAGGGAAGTGGGAACTTGTTTTTGCATCATTCAAGACACGCCCGCATGACATTATACGATACCAAAATAGGGTTTATAGCTGAATTCGCCAGGTTTTTAAAGTGTTTGAATGCTAACCAAAGTATCAATAAGGTGATGGATTAAGATGGATAAAGATGGGCGGACAAAATGGATACAATGGATAAGCTGGATACAGACGGATAATGGATAAAAATGAAAAGTATGGATAAATATGGATAGATGACGTTCCAAGAGCTGACGAGCCGTCCATCTGCACAGATCATACTACGTTCGAATACAGGACGGAAGAACAACGAAATGCGGTATTTTCGCGGTATACATGCCATTTTTTCCAAAATACAAGCCACCACTATAAAACTTGCACACCTCAAGACATTTATCTACATTTTTCAAAAACACATTCGGAACGGCATTCACACAAGGACCATGAAACCGTTACAAAGATCTACCAAAGCCGCACAGAGCACCCCAAGCTGCGGGCGCCACAGACAAGGGACCTGGCCGCACACAGAGCAGTTCCAGAGGCGACCAGGCGCCGCAGACAGGGAGCCCTGCCACCCCTGCGTGCCGCTCGGCCGTGCTCACCTCATTATACTTGTCGCGGTCGGTCTTGTAGACGCGCGCGATCTCGGGCACCAGCGGGTCGTCAGGGTTCGGGTCACACAGCAGGGAACAAATGGACAGCAACACTGCGGACACAGGCACACGTGGACGCGGGTCAGTCAGAGCCGCCGGCGGGCGGCGGCCCGCGCCGGGCGGCCCCGGCCATACGCGAGGCCGTCACATGGCGGCGGCCAGCGACGGCACACGGCCGTCAGATTGTCTGCGGCCGGGTGCCACAAGACAGGTCATTAGTGACGCATCCCACCGAGACGGTTACGAAGGAGAGAGGAGAGAGATGGGGTCAGAAGATACAGGGGTGGCTACTGAGAAGCTAACGTACCCCACGAGGTAAGCTTGGGCACAGCGTGTGCAGCATTTAGACTGGGCGCGGCGTATGCAATATTTGCATCGTTTCAGAATACTGCCTAGAATATCCTGACACCTGGAACTCCTCAAGAGATACTGTGCCAACGTAATTCACCAACATTTCCCTCTGTTGACACAATAGTGCGCGGCGCAGCTCGGAGCGGGCCAAAGTCGGGCGCGAAATCACGTCGCCGCCAGGAGAAAGAGCACGGGAGGGAGGGGCGGAGGGATGGAGGCCTCGGCCTGCACTCTCCGAGGTCAGCCGAGCGTGTCGCCCGAGCGTCAGCCTCCAAACACGCGGTCGGCGGACCCGCCGATAGCAGGCCGCCCGCCGTAATGATCGCTGCCAACACCGCTCCCAGCCCGCAGGAGCCCGGTTCGATTCCCAGACACGGCTCGTTTTTTCGCAGATGCTTCGGGACAACCTCTGGACACCAGCTGAGAAACGATAGCGCGGTTGATGGATGCCGAGAACTACGCCGTGTACCCATGCGTCCAAGGGGTGGACGTGCATTGTCGGCACAACAACAGATATCCTTGAATACGTTATGCCGACAATTTCTGAATGACACGCGGGAGGTGTTACTACAATGCAAGTCGGCCGTCGCGTTACCCTCCCCTTGCGCTTACCACCTATTCCAATTTGCAGCCGTTCGATCATCACTTCGTTGCACATCGTTTCCACCGTTGACCTCAACATGGGGGAATAGACGTTGGCACCACATATTGGTACCAACCTCAATCGCAAGCCGGCACGGCTGGCTCGGCTGGTGGCCCTCGCGAACAGACTGCACCTATCTCGCTATGCAGGACACCGGTCCGTACAGCAACACCCCCTCACAGACGGCGGAGCGCCGGCTGTACAGTTCACGGCTAGGGGAGGCCGTTCTTTCCATCGGAGAGGACGGAGTGCCCGTCATACAGTTATGATCACGCAAGACTGCTCTAGCCCTCGCCACCATAGTCCAAATGAAAAGGCGTTACGAAGACTTAGACGTCCTCTTACACAAAGGTCACGTCGTTGACCTAAACAAGGCTTGCTCTGTATTCTTTTGCACCGAACTTGTACAAAGCAATGAACACACGCGACGCTTTCTTCAAAGGCGCATCCAAGTGACCTACAAGCTCAAACAGTGCATGATACAGCACTTGGAGCTGGACCAACAGACCACTACTATATCGCACTGACCACACCGACGTTTGGTGTACTAACATTCGGTCACTACGCCTTATTGCCCACGCTGCCGCTTTCGGGAGTGTCCATGCCACTTACGCCTGAAATCGGATTGCTTCGGCCTTCAAGTGGCCGTAGAATTGAGGGTCACTGCTGAAGGTGGCCTGGCGCTCGCTTGACGCGATACTGCGTATCAGCGTCCGTCGTAGTGCACAAATGTCGAGTCACATGTGACGCGATCTCGACCCACTAGGCACGTGATTGTAGTTGGAGACGCCTATTTTCACGCCAACCGGCAAAGTGAAATGTTTAAACAGCTTTCGCACGTTTAGGGAACCTAAAATAATTATCAACCCTTGATGCCACATTACCGTAACCGCTTTGAGCGTTTCGGGAGCTCAAAATAACCATCAAAATCTGATATCATATCGCATTTGTTTTGGTTGTTTCAAGCAACATTTGTGTGTGGGAAAACCACTTACACCCATATTCTGCTTGGACCTACATTACGATCATTCAGAAAATTGCTAAATCAATTGGAGAAACATTTTTAGGCACTTTCAAACAATTTCGCGCGAGCCTTCGGAGAACAGGAACAGCTGTCAGGATATTCTGTTGACCCAGGTGCACACAAGGCTGTTGGCTCAGCAAAATTGTTGGAAGCCAAGGCCAGCTCATAGTTTGCTGGGGCAGAAATGTAGTAAATAAATCCTGTTTAGTGACCAGCACTTAAATCATCCGCCCACCCACGTCACTTTTTGATCAACAGATCGAACGTCTTTCATGGGGTGTCTTTGGACAATGGAAATTATTGGGGTTTCCAGGTGCTCCAACTGCGAGGTCATATAGCGCCCATAATGTATGTCATGATCAGAGTTGTTCAAAAATTTCAAACAGTGTTGTTGAGTCTGATGCATGATACATTCTCCAACTGCTGCTGTCAACAGCGTCGCAGTCTCTCACGCCGACGGTAACGAGAGAACGAAAAAAGCTCGCTTCAATTCTCGGACTCGGACCCACTCTCTCGCAGCTGTACGCGGAGCATAACATCCAACAAACAAGCCCAAAAACAGAGATCATAACTCAGTGTGTGCCGAAGGTGTGCCCCATCACCGCTCTAGTGCGCCAGCTCGCTGCAGTCGAGCCATCCACCTCGGTGCAGCATGGGGAGACAGTTCTGGCCAGGTTACACACTGACCTTTGGAAATGGTGAGAGCCGGCGACCACTGCGATCGCAGAATGTCCAGACATATGCTACCATTACTGTTTATGTTTGGGTGGTAGATTCGCGTAGTGAATGCAACCTGCAACAGACAATCAACATATGTCAAATTATCTCTATTGTGAACCAGCCCCATGACAATCATATGAGGCATCACAAAGCAACCAAGCAACCACTTGTTCATGCGATGAAACTATACTCAGATCAATGGCTGCAAATTTCAGCCCAAACCAGTGGTTGGAAACAATATGGCTTTGTTGTTGTTGCTTTGCATATGATAACATAATCAATTTTAATCATCAGCACACTATAGAAATGGGTGCCAAGATAGGCAGTTGGTATACTTACTTTGGGAGGCTTGAAAGGGTAGTCTGTGGGGAAGTGAATTGTTAGGAAGAACACTCCTCCTTGATAAGGACTATCAGGTGGACCCATGATTGTTGCTTGCCAGTGAAATACTGAAACAAACAAAAGCAAAAAAACATCAGTCAATTCACTATCACAATGATGATGTAACTGATGCAACTTTCCACAACAGACCACTTAGGAGGTAGGTTTAATATACATTGAGATACACATCAGTTGTAGCTAGCATAAATAAACTGACTGGAGGTCAGGAATGAATCTCTCCATAGGATACCAAATCAAGGAATTACACACAGCATTTATTAAGTAATACACAAACCATGGGAACTACACCTCCAAAATACCAAAACATCCATCTTTAAGGACAGTGGGACCATACACAATGATATATAGTGACCAAATCAAGCTCCTTTCATCCACATCCAACACAAAAGGTTAATGAACTGACCCATGAGACTATATATTATTCAGTATACATAATACACTCAAGAACCAATCAAATCAGCTCATCTAATGACAAAACACAGTTATGCATCTCCTAGATGGTTCTTGAACATGATCATATAGATTGTTAAGAACAATGTTCTCATGCAATATGACAATTGTGATGATTCCTAAGTCATAACCTAATAGCAGCATTCATTAGCCCAAACCTTGTATGCTGTAACCTTCACATGCATATTTACTAAGCAGGTCATATCTATTGCAACCTAGCCAGGTTTCCAACAGCAACAACCCACACAGGTTGGCCACATGAGCCCACTCACAGTCATCTCCTACTGGGCCTGCTGAACATTGTGCTGGGGGATCTCTGCCCAGGTCCTGCAGCTCCTGAAACACAACCAAACAGCTGTAAATCTGATAGGATGCTGGCCAACACACACTTATATGAGGAAAGCAGGTTATGTATGCTGACTTCTTAGTGTCTGGACATGTTGGGAGGTAGCCAGGAGCCCAGATTATTACTAATAAAAGAGCTCATGAAAAATATGATTATAATGCATGAATGCATTTTCAAAGTATTGTCCTTGTTCCCATACTTGATCCCTGAGGAGCCAATTTTCAATGTAAGTGTGATTTATCCCTGACTTATGTGCCAAAGGTTCCAGTGACATGATTTGCACTCAAACACAGACAAGGCACTGCACTGGTTTAGGGTTATGAATGCTGCTCTAAGATGCTTGGCTACTGCCGCAGCATGAGGAAAACGACACTGTCCCCATATATCCTCATACCTCTGCTATTGTTTGTCCCTTAACTCACTACCAATGTAATGTCCATGTCAGGGAAGGATTCTGGTTAAAAAACACTTGGCTAGTGCTAACTTTAAATGGTTTACTATTTGCTATCACTCATTATAATTTACACGGCACCTGAAGCCTGTGGGCATGTCACTGCTCCTACTGCACCTTAATCCAAGCAGACAGTGGTTTTTCACTGGCAATGTGCCAAATAACTGATAACCATGGCCAGTTAAGCATGTTTTTTGCTCTTCTTTCAAATTGTAGGCCATTCCCTGTGTCAGGCTGTTTTGCCAAGTTTAAATGATATGTACACAACCAGTACTAAAAATGCCTATTATCTGCTCAACATGCAGCCTAGCATAAACATCCTGAACTTATGATCTGGTAATATTGGGCAAAAGCCCCATAGCATGAACAATGCCAGGCCTAGACAATACACAAGCTGGGTTTGACCAAAGCAGGTGAACAATAATCAACCACTATGCTATGGCACTGCATCCGCATGCATCCCTCAGTTGTCTGGCAAAAAACAAAAACAAACTAAAAAAAACAATGCAAAACTGTGCAATGAAAACTGGAATGGTCTATCTGGGGTGGTGCATTAGCAATACAAGCTCTGCTCAGCAATGCTTTGGACCCAGTCATGTAGATAATAGGCACCATGTACAGATATCTGGTGGATAACATAGCATATTATACAGATTAGTACATATATTGTCCAACAACAGCACTATATATGCACGATCATTTACAATAAACACATAAATTTAGATGGAAGGAAAGCTATCTGCAACAGCACTTCCTTTGGTTGTGACCCTCAATAACTTTTTTGTGGCAGTCAGCATTGTCTTAAATCAACCAGGATAAGGTCTTGGCCAAGGTTTCATACCTGACTATTTAGCAAACAAATCATGTCAGGAGCATGTTGAATTTGAATCTGCATGCTGAGGTATTGCTTGTGATGCCTTTTTGAATTACTCATTATTTAACAATGCAGAGTTACATCAGACATGTCAACTACGGCTTTAGATGGACACTCAACACCATGGAGATTGGTTGGATGCTATCAACCATCCCCTCAGAGTCAAACTACATAAAACATATTGGATGGTTCAAAACACACTGGTGAATTATCTTTCCTTACTGGAAAAGTTTAACATGTGATAATAGCAAGGGATATGGCAGGGGACCAGTTGGGAGGCTATAAATGCAGGCATGCTTGAACATCCACATGATAAGCAGGCACAGGCAAGCAACCATGAGCCAGGCCCTATACCTAGAGCATTATTTCCATGCATGACCATAAAAGGTCGGAAAACATAGTCCTACGACGATTGAATGGCAACTGGGTCATGAACCAAGACTCCCGGCGCTGCCTTCATGACATCCATACTAGATCATACCTTATTAATTCTTTTCAAAGACATTCTAAGTGTGTGGGGTGATCCTTTGTCCCCAAGATGGCAGTCACCCTATCTCCGGAAAAGTCCCACTCCTCCCCGCCCGCACGCTTTCGTAACCGGAATACAATGCGCAAAGATGGCTGATCCGGGAAGAGCAGACAGGGTGCATGTGTTCGACCTCGTAGTTTGTGAGTATTTATACGAAATACTTTAAATTATGTAGATATATTTTCATTTTAATAAGGTATTAACGTGATAAAATTCACCCAAGATCGCTTATAAATTGCACCAAGAAAAAACGACGAACATAGTTATAACGACCCATCGTAGCAAAGCACCACCAAATTGTAAATACGCCCGTCGCGTGACTTTGGGCCGTCGCAGTTGGGCATAATAATTTTGTCCTGCCACACAGGCCACATGAACCGAGCAAACAAACAGATGCATAATAATACTAACTTCATCTGTTTGTACCTTAAGGTCATAGAAAGGAGCACAAAATCTAAACTGCTGACAATGGAACAACAAACTTATGTCAATACTTGAGGATTTCACTGCTTACTTTTGGGGGAGGGGCAGAATCTCTCGTAGTTGCGCCCAAAAACTTGAGGAAAAAATCAAGGATGAATGGCAGAGGTGCATCGCAAGAGTTTTGATGAGCGATGAAAGCAATTGCTGGAGCCGAATAAGCATCAAACGGACTCCGCTTGATTCCTCATACATGAGTTCTGGATTCACATTTCCCACATAACTGAATAGCAAACTTCACCCGTGCGAGGAACTTTGAATGGCTTTGCTGAAAATCCCTTGGCCCCTAATGAAGAGCTACTCTCCTCCCCTCCCCTCCCAGGGCGTAGCCATTATTACACGAAGGAGGGAACCAAGGAAAGTCCCAGGGGCACCTTTCAGTCAAGGGATGTTCTTCGCCGCTATAAGAGCCCTAGTCTTGTTTTTTTGTTAATTTGGCAACGCTTTTTAAACCCAAGATCCTGTTTAGCTGCCTCGGTGGTCCGATTTCAAGTTTAACAAGCCTTCCGAGCGATTTAAATTGCTGAATAGTGTCGGTACCTTCGGCCGTAAGGTCCATTGCCACCTCGGTGAAAGGCGCATGGCTGCTAAATTTCTTCCCCGTCGCTAAGCTATGCTACTTCCCAATCACACGCGAACCCCCATGCTTAAAACATTGGAGCAGAGGCACAGCATTTGCCCTGGGCACTTTCTTCCTTCCACATATGTATTTCACCTCCCATTAATACTTTTTTTACGAAACTCCACCTGGTCTGTAGCTCTGGCATTGCGTCTACATTTGGTTTATGAAGTGAATATATTCTGGTTATATTGGTTATAAGCGAATTTCGTTCGCTTCCGTCAAAATCGCTTGAATGTAATGCTACAACAGCTCAAAACGGGCTGTTACCGCCTTTTTATAACAGGGGTTGCAGTTTGTATTCCGTCATGAGGGCTACAACCTTATGCTACTCTGGGTCCGGTATTGCCTTGGCACCCAATATTTTTGGCTGAAGCATTGCAAAACACGGAAGAAAGGGTTGAATACAACAAATAGCCTATCGTAATTGGATATAATTTGTTGGCCGTGACGGTATCCGCACAAGTCGCCGGAAGGCACAAGGCCTAATATATTTTTGCCAAATGCATTTACCCGAACGCTGTTTGGTCAGTGTTCTTTGGCACGGCATGAAAATGGCGAAACGCTTCAGGTCGAACGGCAACATTCCGACATGCCTTTTTGCCGAGGCAGCAGACTTTCGGAAGGGGCGATTCCCTGTGACACCGATCCACTCAGTACACCCTCGAATCATGAATTCTGCTCACGGTCGTAACAGAGGGTAATACGTGGCACACGCACCAGGTTGAGGGGGGGGGGGAGGGGGCAAATTGACCCCACACGGAAAGGTTTTCCATAATGGGTTCAGAACAGTGTGGTGTAGCCGCAACAAGCTTTGAATGGCCGTAGGCGATAGGACAGCGGATCTTCTGGAAATCGAAATTGGATGACCTTTACCAGATCGCTGACCTATGTTGCCTATGGTAGGTCAAAGTAAGGCCGGGCTATCAGCCACGTAAATTTTGACAAAATAAATTCTGACAAAAAATTTGTTCTTATATATACCAGCTCATCCTTTGAATTTTGTGTTTTTAACTATCTTCATGTTTGAGATCCCGGGGAAAAATTGACCCTCCCCTCTGTCCCAGCATATGATATTCAACTGGCCACCCGACGAGTGTAACTCGAATATGCTAATTCATTTCAATCATGTCATCGGTCAAAAGTCAAAAACCTCAAGCAAATTGGAAACTGCATGCGACAGGATTTTTTCACGTGCATTTTTATCTAGCATCAAAAGGATGAAAACTTATCAAAGCATACAAAGCATGACACCAACATTACAGCACAGGCGGCCACTTGTCAGGCACGGGCCTCAGGGCCTACTTCCCAAGCAGGCGTAAGGCTGAACCCAGTGATTCACTTTGGTCGGGGCCGCTGTATCGGTCGGGGGTCCACAGTGCCTAATAGGATGTTCTGTGTTGGCAAGGGACCCCGAGTTGACCCAGGACAATGTTCGATAAGGCCCGAAGAAGACCCCGGAGGTTCACCGGAACCAACAAACAGGGGCCCAATTGGAGGGCATGATGGCTCGAATACCTGGATGTAGTTAACATGAAAGACCCCCGCCCGTAGAACTGTGACCTGAAATATCCGTCAGAGGCCTATTACACCGATTGAGGACCCCCTCAGACAATCCGGGCCTCTATGTCAACCAGAGACCACCAGTACCGAGTAGTTGGCTCTGCGTCGGTCTGACCCTCGAGGCCCTCTTCCCTTCCCAAGACGGAGCAACGCCGGAGCCCGTGATTTGTGTTGGTCGGGTACCCTTGAAACAATGAGGGCCCCTGCGCTGGTCGACGGCCTACAGTGTCTAACGGGGGCATGCGTCTGCAAGTGACCCCGAGTCAGTCATGGGTCCGACTTAAGGAGGGCAAGGTTCTGTGCTCTGTGCTCACATAATGGGGAGGGCGAGGTTCTGTGCTCTGTGGTCGTATGATGAGGAGGTCAAGGTGATGTGCTCATTGGTAATATGATAGTTGTGCATGCAAGTTAGTGCTCGTTTTGATATGGAAATACAAGAACTACACAAAAATAAGTACAAATTTGCATTATTTTCAAAACATAGAAAATTTGTCTGAGCTTAGGTCACTGACCTCCCATTTTCCGAAAACTCTGACCTATACAAACTGTAGATACTATTATGTTTTCGCACTACAAGTTTGCACAATGGCAATGGACCAACAAAAAGTTAACGTGTGGTCAAGTATTTTTATAGATTGGCCTAATTAGCCGACCTAGGTCACTAATCTCGGCAGATCAAACCTTCAAATCTGTGCATGGGATGCTATCTTGATAGATGAACAGGCACCAAAAATTTCGCGCTGCTGCGAATGTTCGTTTTTGACCTGTCCTAAAAAAAACGTAGGAGAATTCAAGTTTCGTCTCCTCCGACCTGGCGTGGGTTAAGGACTCTCGCCCGTAGGGTCGCGATCCAAAATGACAGTTGGACGACCTCTTGCACCGACTGGGGACTCCTCAGGCAGTGCCTTCCTCTCTTTGGAGGCACACACACACACACACACACACACACACACACACACACACACACACACACACACACACACACACACACACACACCACACACACACACACCACACACACACACACACACACACACACATATATATATATATATATATATATATATATATATATATATATATATATATATATATATATATATATATATATATATGGATCATGCGGACACCATTTCAACCTCCAAATTCTGATCAGTCGGTGCCCAGGTTCTAATCTAGCATGCTGAATGTGAAGCCAGATGCCTCAGCGTCTAAAAATTATTCCCCGCTCGTGAACTGTCGCATTCCCAGTGCAAACAGTGTTAAAGCGCATGCAGTATTTTAGGAAACTGGTACTCAGCCTGCCAAGTGGTATAGATGCACTGAAAAGGTAAAATTGTGCACCAGCTGCACGTACATATAACGTAGGAATCAGCACATCTGATAATTATTTCATGGATTAATAAGAACGGGCATCATGGCTAAGCAATGTGCAGTGAGTGTAACAAACAAATTTTACAAAGTGAGATGCCGTGTACAATTTGGCGCTCTGCATTCCGAACAGGCAGCTGCTCAGCATCCCTCTTAGCGGTCATGCCTTGTATTTGCTGGCGGTTGCAAGAGTGCTGTCACCTATACGCAAGCTCGGTATGCATAGTGCTGCCACCTGTTAAACAAAAGTGGCGACGTCCTCCAAAAGCAGGCGGCAAACTCGAGCAACTGATAATGCGCTAACACATCGCTAACGATCGCATTGCATCGTGGCCATTACCACATCATGGTTAGCACAAAGTCATGCAAAATTAGTCAGGCTAAACTCTACGCTGCAATAAGAATGGCACCGATAAGAGTTTTGGCTTTCCACCTGATATTCCAGCAATACCCTCATCGGAATACCTTTACAGCGTTCTTGTATATGCACGCAGCATGCACCTGCAGGAACTTCATTTTGTGCTGAAGTATGTGGTGTCTGCTAGTGCGATAATCCTGCAGTAGAAGCTCTCCCTACTGCTCATAACTTTTTTATGACAGCGAATTGGATGAGTGGGAAGCTCTTCGCATGGAACAGTATCAAAATGGATCATTAGAAGCAAGTCAGTTGGTTCGAACAATGAATTCGTTACAAAAGAAGCTTATTTCTATTTGGAACGTCTGTTTCCATAAAAATCCTAAAGATTCGCCGCTATTTTTGATAAAGTTCTCTTATAACAAGCTGATCCCATGGAAATCTGGGGCGGACTTTCGACAAAAATAGCATAGAAAAACGGCCCGCTAAACTCGTGTAGCGCTACTACGGGGCCATAATCACCAAAAACATATTATCAGCAACAAAACGTTGCTACCAGCTCTGGTGCCTCCCCATATAGCCCACTGTTTCAGGTCCAGGTTCCACCGCCATGCATTATGCGTTCTCGGATCGACAAGCTTCTCAATTTTGCAGCGCACGTTGTGACAAAACGGCGCCACTTCGATCGCATCACCGGGGCTCG